TATTAGTAAGTCAACTATAGATGGCAAATGACACGATTGAGGTGCTGGAAGTCTGATTGAAGTCAAAGGAAGCCCACAGCAGAAAGCTTAACAAAACAAAAAGTTGTATTTTCAAAATTCTGTCCCATTTTCAAATATGAAATTTTCTGAACACAAATTTGGCAGATTGGATGGACTTTTTGCCCACGGACCAATTAGTCAGTTAATTGATGATGGTATAAAACCAAATTGGGGTACTGGGAGTCAAAATTCCGAATAAATTTGCAAAATCATATTATCCCCAATCTCTGTCCCATTTTCAGTTTTTGAAGATGAAATTTCCAGGACCGAAATTTTACAGTTTTGACTGATTTTTTCACCCGCAACCAATTAGTAGGTCAACTATAGATAACAAATGACACGATTGAGGTGCTGGAAGTCTGATTGAGGTCGGAAATAGCCCACAGCAGAAAGCTTAACAAAAAAAAAAGTTGTATTTTCAAAATTCTGTCCCATTTTCAAATATGAAATTTTCTGAACACAAATTAGGCAGATTGGATGGACTTTTTGCCCATGGACCAATTAGGCAGTTAATTGATGAGGGTATGAAACCGAATTGGGGTACTGGGAGTCAAAATTCCGAATAAATTTGCAAAATCATATTATCCCCAATCTCTGTCCCATTTTCAGTTTTTGAAGATGAAATTTCCAGGACCGAAATTTTACAGTTTTGACTGATTTTTTCACCCGCAACCAATTAGTAGGTCAACTATAGATGGCAAATGACACGATTGAGGTGCTGGAAGTCTGATTGAGGTCGGAAATACCCCACAGCAGAAAGCTTAACAAAACAAAAAGTTGTATTTTCAAAATTCTGTCCCATTTTCAAATATGAAATTTTCTGAACACAAATTAGGCAGATTGGATGGACTTTTTGCCCATGGACCAATTAGTCAGTTAATTGATGATGGTATGAAACCGAATTGGGGTACTGGGAGTCAAAATTCCTAATAAATTTGCAAAATCATATTGTCCCCAATCTCTGTCCCACTTTCAGTTTTTGAAGATGAAATTTCCAGGACCGAAATTTTACAGTTTCGACTGATTTTTTCACCCGCAACCAATTAGTTAGTCAACTATAAATAACAAATGACACGATTAAGGTGCTGGAAGTCTGATTGAGGTCGGAAATAGCCCACAGCAGAAAGCTTAACAAAACAAAAAGTTGTATTTTCAAAATTCTGTCCCATTTTCAAATATGAAATTTTCTGAACACAAATTAGGCAGATTGGATGGACTTTTTGCCCATGGACCAATTAGTCAGTTAATTGATGAGGGTATGAAACCGAATTGGGGTACTGGGAGTCAAAATTCCGAATAAATTTGCAAAATCATATTGTCCCCAATCTCTGTCCCACTTTCAGTTTTTGAAGATGAAATTTCCAGGACCGAAATTTTACAGTTTTGACTGATTTTTTCACCCGCAACCTATTAGTAAGTCAACTATAGATGGCAAATGACACGATTGAGGTGCTGGAAGTCTGATTGAAGTCAAAGGAAGCCCACAGCAGAAAGCTTAACAAAACAAAAAGTTGTATTTTCAAAATTCTGTCCCATTTTCAAATATGAAATTTTCTGAACACAAATTTGGCAGATTGGATGGACTTTTTGCCCACGGACCAATTAGTCAGTTAATTGATGATGGTATAAAACCAAATTGGGGTACTGGGAGTCAAAATTCCGAATAAATTTGCAAAATCATATTATCCCCAATCTCTGTCCCATTTTCAGTTTTTGAAGATGAAATTTCCAGGACCGAAATTTTACAGTTTTGACTGATTTTTTCACCCGCAACCAATTAGTAGGTCAACTATAGATAACAAATGACACGATTGAGGTGCTGGAAGTCTGATTGAGGTCGGAAATAGCCCACAGCAGAAAGCTTAACAAAAAAAAAAGTTGTATTTTCAAAATTCTGTCCCATTTTCAAATATGAAATTTTCTGAACACAAATTAGGCAGATTGGATGGACTTTTTGCCCATGGACCAATTAGGCAGTTAATTGATGAGGGTATGAAACCGAATTGGGGTACTGGGAGTCAAAATTCCGAATAAATTTGCAAAATCATATTATCCCCAATCTCTGTCCCATTTTCAGTTTTTGAAGATGAAATTTCCAGGACCGAAATTTTACAGTTTTGACTGATTTTTTCACCCGCAACCAATTAGTAGGTCAACTATAGATGGCAAATGACACGATTGAGGTGCTGGAAGTCTGATTGAGGTCGGAAATACCCCACAGCAGAAAGCTTAACAAAACAAAAAGTTGTATTTTCAAAATTCTGTCCCATTTTCAAATATGAAATTTTCTGAACACAAATTAGGCAGATTGGATGGACTTTTTGCCCATGGACCAATTAGTCAGTTAATTGATGATGGTATGAAACCGAATTGGGGTACTGGGAGTCAAAATTCCTAATAAATTTGCAAAATCATATTGTCCCCAATCTCTGTCCCACTTTCAGTTTTTGAAGATGAAATTTCCAGGACCGAAATTTTACAGTTTTGACTGATTTTTTCACCCGCAACCTATTAGTAAGTCAACTATAGATGGCAAATGACACGATTGAGGTGCTGGAAGTCTGATTGAAGTCAGAGGAAGCCCACAGCAGAAAGCTTAACAAAACAAAAAGTTGTATTTTCAAAATTCTGTCCCATTTTCAAATATGAAATTTTCTGAACACAAATTTGGCAGATTGGATGGACTTTTTGCCCACGGACCAATTAGTCAGTTAATTGATGATGGTATAAAACCAAATTGGGGTACTGGGAGTCAAAATTCCGAATAAATTTGCAAAATCATATTATCCCCAATCTCGTTCCCATTTTCAGTTTTTGAAGATGAAATTTCCAGGACCGAAATTTTACAGTTTTGACTGATTTTTTCACCCGCAACCAATTAGTAGGTCAACTATAGATAACAAATGACACGATTGAGGTGCTGGAAGTCTGATTGAGGTCGGAAATAGCCCACAGCAGAAAGCTTAACAAAACAAAAAGTTGTATTTTCAAAATTCTGTCCCATTTTCAAATATGAAATTTTCTGAACACAAATTAGGCAGATTGGATGGACTTTTTGCCCACGGACCAATTAGTCAGTTAATTGATGAGGGTATGAAACCGAATTGGGGTACTGGGAGTCAAAATTCCGAATAAATTTGCAAAATCATATTATCCCCAATCTCTGTCCCATTTTCAGTTTTTGAAGATGAAATTTCCAGGACCGAAATTTTACAGTTTTGACTGATTTTTTCACCCGCAACCAATTAGTAGGTCAACTAAAGATAACAAATGACACGATTGAGGTGCTGGAAGTCTGAGTGAGGTCGGAAATAGCCCACAGCAGAAAGCTTAACAAAACAAAAAGTTGTATTTTCAAAATTCTGTCCCATTTTCAAATATGAAATTTTCTGAACACAAATTAGGCAAATTGGATGGACTTTTTGCCCATGGACCAATTAGTCAGTTAATTGATGAGGGTATGAAACCGAATTGGGGTACTGGGAGTCAAAATTCCGAATAAATTTGCAAAATCATATTGTCCCCAATCTCTGTCCCACTTTCAGTTTTTGAAGATGAAATTTCCAGGACCGAAATTTTACAGTTTTGACTGATTTTTTCACCCGCAACCTATTAGTAAGTCAACTATAGATGGCAAATGACACGATTGAGGTGCTGGAAGTCTGATTGAAGTCAGAGGAAGCCCACAGCAGAAAGCTTAACAAAACAAAAAGTTGTATTTTCAAAATTCTGTCCCATTTTCAAATATGAAATTTTCTGAACACAAATTTGGCAGATTGGATGGACTTTTTGCCCACGGACCAATTAGTCAGTTAATTGATGATGGTATAAAACCAAATTGGGGTACTGGGAGTCAAAATTCCGAATAAATTTGCAAAATCATATTATCCCCAATCTCTGTCCCATTTTCAGTTTTTGAAGATGAAATTTCCAGGACCGAAATTTTACAGTTTTGACTGATTTTTTCACTAGCAACCAATTAGTAGGTCAACTATAGATAACAAATGACACGATTGAGGTGCTGGAAGTCTGATTGAGGTCGGAAATAGCCCACAGCAGAAAGCTTAACAAAACAAAAAGTTGTATTTTCAAAATTCTGTCCCATTTTCAAATATGAAATTTTCTGAACACAAATTTGGCAGATTGGATGGACTTTTTGCCCATGGACCAATTAGTCAGTTAATTGATGAGGGTATGAAACCGAATTGGGGTACTGGGAGTCAAAATTCCGAATAAATTTGCAAAATCATATTATCCCCAATCTCTGTCCCACTTTCAGTTTTTGAAGATGAAATTTCCAGGACCGAAATTTTACAGTTTTTACTGATTTTTTATCCGCAACCAATTAGTAAGTCAACTATAGATGGCAAATGACACGATTGAGGTGCTGGAAGTCTGATTGAAGTCAGAGGAAGCCCACAGCAGAAACCTTAACAAAACAAAAAGTTGTATTTTCAAAATTCTGTCCCATTTTCAAATAAGAAATTTTCTGAACACAAATTTGGCAGATTGGATGGACTTTTTGCTAGAGAAATTGTTCTCAGATAGCTTAACACTTTAACAAAACAAAAATTCGTATTTTCTAATTTCTTTTCCATTTTCAAATTCAAGTATGACAATCTGAAAACACAAATTTTTTGAAGATGAAATTTTCAGGACCGAAATTTTACAGTTTTTACTGCTTTTTTCACCTGCAACCAACTAGTAGTAGTAAGTCAACTATATATTGGAAATGACATGATTGAGGTGCTGGAAGTTTGGTTTCGTCGTAGGTAGCTAACAGATGATGAAAAATGTCATTAAATGGCACAAATTTGTATGGAGAAAATGGAAAACATTTGAGCAAATCGAAAATTTGTGCTCATTGCTAAATATTGTAATGTTACTTGTTTCGTCACCACTCACCAGTCTTACCAGTGTAACATAATTTTCTACTGCAGCTGAGATTTGTAAATCAAGTGGCGCTAATGAAGATGAGATTGATGACTGCAAGGTTCAGAGATGTAAAACAGAGGTACGTTTTTAACATTCATATTTTATTTTTAGCATTCTTATTTCATTGCCGATCATCCGATTTAAGTTAATAATAATACCGATCTGCTGCGATACCTATATCGTTATTCAAGTTCAACACGGTGGCGTCAACTATCACTATCAGCATTAGAAATATCATGAATAAGACAGTTAGCTCGCATTAGGTCATTTCATTATAAATAGACAATTAATAGTTAATAATCTAATTATTAATACAACGTTCCTATTTTCAGAGATGTAACGATCCCGAATCAACGAAGATAACAAGCAGTTCGCGAGGATTACCAGTTACACTTCTCATTCTTGTTTCCTCTACTTTACTCAACTTGTTCTGGAGATAAATAAAAGGCTCTTTTTTGGAGATAGACAGTAGACACGTGGTGTTGTATGTTTTGATGCGTTGATCGTTAATATCAATAAACTACATAGTAATAGTATGTTGATTGCTTTTAAAGTATGTTTATGCTTACAGTTATCTCAAAGCATTATTTTCATGTGTCCCCCGGCCCCCGTCACCACTTTCTTATTTTATTTTATTTTTTAAAGAGAGGCTGGGCCTGGTTGGCCCACGAGAGGATAGCATGTGGATGCTTTGCCTACCTCTGGGGTATGGCACCACTAGATCTAAATAAGACTCGGGTAAATTTTTGTGTTTTCTAAGAATTTTAAATACAATCATACACAACATTTTATTTCAAAGTACGTAAAAATTCAAGCTTAACAATTAACAGCTGTTTCGGATGGCAAGCAATCAGAGTGATTAAATCTAATCAAAAATGTTTTCGTCTTAACAAAGAAATCCGTATTCGATCATCAGGAGGATAGTTGTGTGATCCATTTTAACAAACAAGCAATTGATATTAAATTAAACCTCAGCGGCAAAAAATGGAAAAAAAACTTGGTATTCTTATCAAGAAAGTATATAATGAAATCTATGATTACATTGCACATCTAAAATGCCCATATAAATAATTTCCGATGCCCCAATCCCCAATGGTCAATTAAATACAAAATTTAAATACAGCTTCAGGCTGTTCAAATTATGAAAGCTCAAAATTACAGACAAGCTTCAGTCAACAGAACGAAAAACTCAAATCGCATTAATCAATTAGCTAATTAATTAGCTAACAAATCAGTTAATTAAGATGGAATCCCTTCTCCTGAGTACTCTGTAAAAGTCTCTCCCGTAACACCTGCTTACTGGAATACTCTGGAAGTTTCAGATAATGCACGCACGTGTTAACACTGGGAAGACAGGAATCCCCTCCTTCTCCCTCCTTCCGTACGACCGTTAACCGGGGGTTGAGGTTAGCTAACCCACCTGGGGGCAGGGAACTGCACCCTGTCGCAAACTGCAAGAAGTTCTTCCTCTCGGCCCCGGACATCTCCACCAGCACTTCCACCAGGTTCAGGAAACCGGTGCTCTCCCGGGTGTAGCCGAACTTGGGTTCCGTGTACTCGAGCAGGTCGTCACGTGACCAATCAGGTGACATCTCACCGCACAGCAGCAGTCGGAATTCTTGCGGAGTAAACATTTTCACGTGGGATAAAGAGAAGACGGTGTTGAAACCGCCTTTGAAAGCCTCCATTTGTCTCTTGATACCGGTGTCTAAACAGAAGGACCTGCTCAGGTCACAATACTCCTCAATGTTCTGTAGAGAAAGTGGGATGTGCTGTCCGCCTGGTTTCAGGTCGAACTCCGTGTACCCGTACACGTTGGAACTGGGGGTGAACTGGAAGAAAACACACAGGTCCTCTAGCTTAGCACTGGTTCCTGGTAAGTTCAAACCGTCCAGTTTCTCCTGTTTTTGTGATTCAGTAAGGGTTGTGTCCGATAAAATACTCCTCTTCTGCTCAGCCAGCACATCAAGTGAGCTGAGAAACTTGGCTAGGTACGGGTTGGTGGCGGTGAAGTCGTTGTTGTTGAGGATGCCAGAGAACCAGGCCTGTTGGTGACGGTCAGACCGTGATTCCAGCTGTCGGTCAGCGGTCGGTCTGGTGTCGGTCTTGGTGTAGGAGGACTCGCTGGAAGTGTCCACTGCTATGTCCTCGATTGTCAGGGGTCCACATTTTCTGTTGAGAGACTCGTTTGGTGCATCTTCGTAGCTTGTACCCTGAGGGGAATAATGTTTATTAGTGAGATACAACGCTTAAGAACTCTACATCAACAAAATCGTTGAAACTGTCTGTTCTCTAAAGAACAAATAACTCATCTCACAACTAATTAACTACAAATTAACCAATTAATTACCTGTACAGAGGATATATCCGAAGCAGCATCACTATCACATCTAAACCTCAGTTCCCCTTCTGTTAGACTACTTAAACTCTCTGACTTCAACAGGAAGGACTCTGATGTTCCTGCGAGATGAGATTTTAATGTTTTCACTCCAATCGTGAGCATAAGTTAAGGGGGTCGTTTACATATTACGTAATCAGCCGAGGGGGGAGGGGGTTTGATTGAGCTAGTGTAATTTTGAAACAATAGTTATGTGTAAAACTGATTACGGAGGGGGGAGGGGTTAAAAATTGTCCAAAAAGTGATTACGTAATAATATAATATAATATAACGACCCCTAACCAACATACTAAATTTTAAATATCATTATCTTTTGCTTTTATCAGTTCACAAGAAACGATCGTAGAATTCTGTACAACAATGACGAGTTTAATATTATATACTGGTGGGAAGGTGAACCGTATTTTGTCACGTGATGGTCTCCAGTATTGACCAATCATAACTCAGGATTGCAACCACGTGTAACTTTAAACACGGTTCACGTCCCACTATTGCAGTATTCAGATTTAACAAACTAAAATCAGTGGAATGTTCTAGAAGCGTACCCTCGCTGTCACTGTGATCACCAGAGTCTGAATTAGTGTCTGACACGTGTTCCGAAGTGGTACCTGGGGAGAATGTGTTCGTTACATTCCCAATTGATTTATATTATTGGGGTTGAGACTTGAGAAAAAGTTATAACTCGATGTCGACATACATTTTAAAGACCTCTTGAAAATCATTAAATCAGAAAAGACAACTGTCAAACACGGCTGACATGCCCAAATTACACGTGTCTCTGAACAGTACCTCTACACAACATCTTAAAGAAAGGTAAGGACAAGGGTAGGTCAACCAGTCTCTGATCTTGTAAACTCTTCCCCACGAACATGCCCAGCAGATGGAAGAGCGAGCAGATCTTCGTTAGTTTTGGGGAATCCTGTGAGTAGGGTCAGTTGGTATTTCATATTTCACATTTCTTGATTTCTCAGCAACCGTTTATTTAGATTGAAACAGTAAGTAAGCCGGTAGATTTTAATGTTCTGAAACTAAACCTGAGGGTAAGGTGCAGGGAAGAGACCATGAGATCCAGCCTTGACGTAGTACCCACGTGGTTTAGGGCCCTGTCCCAGATCTAACTCTACTCCCTCTGAGGAGGTTATCTCGTCGTCACATACCTGAACATGTGGCTTGTAGAGAAGGGTAATCTTATTATATTTGTTATCTATAATGTAATAATACGAATAAAGCTAAAAATAACAGACATATTATCTCAAAGTACTGAATGTTTCTGGCGGGGGTGCAGTAAGTGGTTGAAGCATATGCCGGTGAGTGGGTATATTTCTAAAAATCAGTCAGTGTTTTACACCAATAAGTAAGGATGTTCTTTAATAAAAACAAATAATAAAAACGCACCCATATTCCAAGCTCCTTCCTCTGGAGCTCTGCAGCGACTAGAGAGTAGAACTCCAGTGTGGGTCCTATTCCTGTTCCCTCCTCCCCGCGGAACTCTATCTCCAGTACGCTCTTGTTAATGGCGTGTGTGTTCAGAACCTGCGGGTGTAAAGTGCTGTTATCCTCCCACTCAAACTAGGTGCTGCCTGCGTGCATGTATATTGTATAAAAACAACCCAACTAACTAACTAACATCTTAAAATATATAATTTCAGTATCGTGTGACGTAAGTTAGTTACCACTGTTAATTATTAATTAAGTTAATCACCACTGAATCTAAAGATCTAACCTGGTTAGCCCAGTCCAGGAAATCCTCCCCCCTGGGAATGGTACATCTCTCATGTTTTAGTCTTCCAATCCTGAACTCTCCCATCTCGTCTACCCGTCTAGTCGCTACTGTCCGGGGTCGCTGCTCTGTTGTGTCCCTGTTAATTAATTAACTCATTAGTTTACATTAGATAACTATTAATTAATTAACTAATTAGTTTGCATTAGATAACAATTAATCAATTAACCAATTAGTTTACATTCAATAACAAGTGTTGAATCGTCTATAGCAGTCGTCCAACTTTTAATCACCCGTTTTAGTTGCTCGATATCAAATAAATGTATCTGCACAATTTAAAGCCAGGGCCTAAATCATCAGACGAACAAAGTCTGAGCTCTGTTAGACAAATAAACAGTTATAAATGATTATTATAAACAGTTATAAACAGTTATAAACCTGAGGCTCTGTAACCAGTGGATAGAGCGGGAGATACCGAAAGCGGTGGCGTTAAAGTACACAGACCTCGTCTCGAATGGAATTAACATGGGGTACTGGTTCACCAGTCTGTCACACCAACCTGCAACAGTAGTGTTAGTAAAGTTAGTTAAATAAGTATTGGGAGTATTGAGAGTCCCAAGTATTGGGAGTATTTAATTAATGATGAGTGGAGCTCTGGGGACCTAAAACAAACCGGCGATCATAATGTAATAAGAAGAAGAATGCAGGATGATAGCAGGAGATAAGAACTTTATCAACACATTCCATTGTGTCAGCTTCCAGTTCCAGCAGCGACCAATTAAATCCCAGTATCACTACCACGTGTCCTCACTAACACATACCTGGCACAGACCTAGTCCCCAACATCAGTGGTTCCTGAACCTGCTGCATCAACCTGGTGGTCAGTCTACTGGAATGGAAACTATCCGCACTAACAATACTCCTCTCCCCCTCCTCCTCCTCCGCTGAGGAGGAGGTGTCTGTTTGGACCAGGGCGGAGTAGACTATGTTAAGGAGATGGAGACATTGGGAGAATTCCTTGTACCACTCGTGTTCCGTCTCACTTCCTGAGCCTGACAAATGGGTTATATTTTCTTTAAAATTTAATCTTCGAATTAAGGATTGACAAGAAGAACGAACGGACCTTATCGTAAATCCAGATATATCTTGCAAAGAATATTTTAGAACTGCAAGTTTATCATGTCGCGGATTACCAAACATTTAACCAATTATTCGATCCTAATCTCAAAATACCTGAAACACAATGCTGAACGAAATCCTTGTACGCGTTTGCCAGGTTGCTGCAACTCTTGCTCTTCTTGATCGTTTTAGGAGATCCGGTGAGGCGCCACTTTTTGAGCCAGACACTGTCAGCGTGGGATTGAAGATAGTTCAGTAGTTCCATCTTGGGGAGCCGTTCCGTTCCGAGGTACTTGCGAACAAACTCGTAGTCCCACCGTGGTTTGAATGGAGAGGTTTCAAATGGGTCTTGTTTTTGGTTTAGTAATCTGCGGTTATTTTGGAGTTTCAAAGTCAACAATACAAACCTGACGATTATATAACCGGATAAATGTACATCATGCTCGGACTTTGAATTTGTAATCCCGAATCAAAGCACAAAATCGTAAAAATAGCACAGCTAAACTGACCTATAAAGATCAGAAGGTCTTGTCTCCCTATAAACGAGCGTGTAAGTAGGTTCCCAAAACCTCCTCACATTAGTACTTGGCAAATAGCCAGCTTTCTCCCTACACGTCATCTCCACCAGACATGAGAACACTGTCTTGTCATGTGGACACAGATACTCCACAGCTTTAGTCCCCGGTAACGCGGGACATCTAATGAAGAGAGCCAGTCTGGGTTTTATCGTGACGTCTTTTTGCACTCTGACGGACACGGTATCAAAGCAGTCGGGGCCAGGTGCTGTTATCTCGACATCAGTGGTGTGAGCCACGTTGTTGCGGCCTGGTCTGGGATCAAATGCCGGAATCAGGGCGGAGAACTGGCGTTTTAGAACGATGTCGTCGTCCCAGACGCGGCGTTTTAGGGGTCGTTGGTCTTCCGTGTCCTCGTCACTTTCTAGATCAATTCCAAACTCCATCCCTTCCTCGTCATCGTCCTCTTCGTCATCATCCTCGATGTCCATATCTTCTGGATGTGCGATACCTTCACCCACTAAATCGCTGTCGTCAAACGAAAGGAACTCCAGCCTCTCTCCCACGGAAGATCTTCCTGGGAACCTGGGTTTGTGCCAGTCAGGCAGCTCTCTCTTGTGCCCACTCTGTGCTCCTACAGGAATGTTGTTGACATCTTGGTCGGCTGACCCGGCCTCCTGTACCACCTCACCTGACGAAGTGGAAGCTCCCTGAGCTGACAGATCGTTAGTGGGAGTGGAAGGAGACTCCTGGTCTGCTGTGGTCCGTTGTAGACTCTGCAGGCTGAGGGGGATGTCGGAGAACTCGGAGAGGAGGTTGCGTTGAGGGAAGTAGGGGAAGTAGGAGTCAGAAGCGAAGGAGTCAGGAGCGTCCGAGGTGTTAGGGTCTCCTGAAGACACAGAGGGTGGTTGTTGTCGGTCGGTGATGTCGTTGGAGGAGCCGCTGCTGCTGGAGGAGGTATCGTGGTCGAGGGACGGGGTAGCGTCCTCTGTTAGGTCACCGTCGCTTGGGAATTGTTGGGCTACCGAGTCCAAGACTTCCACGTTTGACGCAGCTGCGACTTGGTCAGGTTCTTGTGTTCCCGCCGGTGATTCGTCATCTTGAACCGTGATATCACCTTGGTGCTGGGTGACGTCATCACCCTGAGCTATGACGTCACCGCTGTGCTCACTGGTGGTATCAGGGGTGAGGTAGTCACTGGAAGAGTTGGTTCGTGATGTCTGATCACTGCCCTCCTCCGCTACACTGCCATCTCAGGCAGGGTCGGGATGATGTCGGTGATGCTGAGGTCATGGTTTGTGGAATCTGTTGGGGTCACTCCTTCTTTGGGCTCGTCAGGGGTTTCGGGAATGTCAGAGAACTCTTCATCATCTACTCCTGAGAGGGGTGATAAATAGTTGTGCTTTATTATAGGTTAAATATGTTGAAGAATCTGTGTTGATATAGGGAACTTGTGAATAGATTTTTTTAATTTTTAAATTTGAGATTAAAACTTACCATCGTCCTCCTCGTCCTCCTCGTCCTCGTCCTCCTCGTCTTCCTCCTCCGCAAAGTTACTCTTGTCTTCACCCTCTCCCTTATTCAGGGTGTTATTTTGCTGGACTGTGTTACTGCTACTAGGTCCTGGTCTTGAAACCTGGCGAGTAGTACATTATCAATTACATAATCACTTAATTAATTACAGGATCACTTAATTAATTAATCTTCAATTACATAATCACTTGATTAATTAAATAATCACATTATCACGTGATTAAGAAACTATAAAGTTGAGGATTTGCCAAGGTCCACACCAATAAACCCAGCGCGTACCTGATCAGCTAGTTGAGAAAGAAGAACATCAGCAGCAGATCTCTGAGTTCTATGAGGCATGGCTCCCAGCAGCTCATTTATAGTACACACAGTGTTCCTGTCACTGGACCGATCGGTCGTGTCCATCACGGCCTGGGCCAGCTCCAGCACAAAGTTCTCCAGATCAGTTGCTAGGTTACGCTGGTTGAAGGTATTGAGGGTGTCCTGGCGGGACGCAACACTGCCTGCATCTAGGGGAGTTTTACTGTCAATAAGATATATATCATATAAGATATATGAGATATATTATATAAGGTATATTACCTTCAAACAGCCCCGCTTACCCTCCAACTAAGGGAGTCATGTTGTCAATCATTTTAAGATATCTGAGCAATTATGTATGTAATTATTACTTATGGTTGGTGGGCTAGACAGTGAAACACGCAAATGTAGTGTATACTTCGTTAAATTACATCATTAGCTACAAAGGGATTAAGTTGGTTAGATTTATTAGTACTATATATACGAAGATCTAAAATGCCTCAAACAATCGAGAATCAAATAACCTAAATAAAATACACAAGGTAAATGGAGATGAATTACACAAAAATATAGCTTCAAAAATGAATCTTTAAAAAAGAAGAAATAAAAACTAAGAACCTTATCTTTCAACTTTGCATCTATTTAAACCCAAGCAATTAGTTCTATACTTCTCAATATACCTAAATTCCTCCCTATTTAATCCCCTGGGGTTACATTCTTTCAAAATGGCAAATTTATAGTTGTCTATAGTAAAAATGTCTCTGTGATGTTCATAGGCATGAATCGAAAGGGCTGATTTATTACGATCCTCTACTTTAAAACAGGCTCTGTGTCCATTGACACGTTTATGAAAGTTTTGCATTGTTTGCCCGAAATAAGTGTCTTCTACAACTATCTCATAACCTTCTTCCTTTATAAGATTACAAAGCTTACATTGGGCCACATAAATAACATTTTTAGATTTACAATTATATCTGATAGGAACTACTATCTTCTGTCCATTAACTACAAATTCTTCCCCTGCCCTACACATATGCCTGCATGTTCGGCATCTTGGTGCATTGCATTTCTGAGTCCACTCTGAATTATTTTCTGCCGGTGTTCTGCAGATAGCACTGTTTCTCAGTACTCTGTTACCAATCGAGCAGCCTTTCTTCGATGCCACCGTGATTTGTGTTGGGCCTAATAGTGCTTCAATGTCCGGTTCCAACTCCTTTAAGACTGATTTAAGCTGGGGCATCTCCGAGAGGTGTTGGACTGAAAACACCATGGAAGTTTTTTGGGGAACATGAACACTTCCTTCTGAGTTGGGTGGAGGATTGAACAGCTTCTCCAACACTTTTGGCTCTAAGGCGTTCAGTTTCGCTGGGTCGTGTCCACTACGACGCAAATCCGATTTCAATTGCTGTAGGTCCGCCTGCCGTGTATCCTCTCTTGAGTTCCTGTTAGCAATCCGAAGCATTTGGGAGAAGGCTACGGAGTTAAACACGTGATTTGGGTGGAAACTGTCAGTACGGAGAAAGTTTTACTAGTATTACAAGTATTACTAATACTTACCTTAAGTTTAATACCACTCAAGTTCCAACTACAAACCCTTAAATTATTTCATTACCCTCAAACAGCCCCACTTACCCTCTAGTTCATCTACAGTTCCTACATCAGGGGTAGAAGATATGGTAGCTATGGAGAGGGTCTCTGAACCCCCCACAGCTTCTGTTGAGTCAGGTGTGCCTGGTACTCCTTCTCCTGACACAATGGGTAAGTTTAACATCATATTCGGGATATCTGTTATATCTAGTAACTTAGAGGTGATGGGTAAAGTTTAACATCATATTCGGGATATCTGTTATATCTAGTAACTTAGAAGTGATGACTTATTCCCTCCCTATCATTTCGGCTGATGGAGTTAAGATCAATTATCTATAATTAAGATCTCAATTATCTATTACTTTAGAAATAATAAAGTTATTAATCACTAATCACTAATTACATATTAGTTATTAATCACTAATCACTAATTACATATTAGTTATTAATCACTAATCACTAATTACTAATCACTAATCACTAATCACCTGTACCAGTGCTGCTGCAACTCTTAATACTCTCAGTATCACTCTGAAGAGCCTTCCAGTCCACTCTACTCGGCCTGGAACCCAGGTTTCGGAGCACTTGTGCGGCCGTCTTCGTAAAATAGTACGATATTAGTTAGAATATTACTAGTTTAACAGTTAAAAACGGCGGAACTGGGTTTATTATCATATCATTACACGGTAAACGGTAAATAAACAACACTTTAACTGTATACGGTGTGAGCTCTTTGATATAACAAAAGGAATAAGTAAAAGTAGGTATTGTAAAGAATGTGATAAAAACCCCTCACCTGTTTGCGATATATCCTGAGTCTCTGTCTACACATCAGACTATCTGAATCCCTATTTAATCTCTTGAGCACCTTATCAGCTCCCATCATGAGAGGAGGAGGTTTGGTGGGGAGGAGTTCTATTGGTGGGTCGTCGCACACAGCCGTTATTGTACCGTACACTTCAAAACCTGGTTAATTATCACTAATTACTAATTGCATATATAATGTACTGCCGTTATTGTACCGTACACTTCAAAACCTGGTTAATTATCACTAATTACTAATTACATATATAATGTACTGCTGTTATTAACATGTATAATGTATTCATGTATAATGTACACTGTTTAATGTACTGAGTGGGTTTAGTCTGGTAGTAATGTGAGACTGGAATTCTGGGGGTTCGAATCTGTTACAATCAGACTGGTAATTATGGTGTTATTAGAGATTTGTATCTAAAAGTGAGACAAATTCTACATATTATTATTATAGAGCTAGGGTGTGGACTAGCTACACCTGGTATTTGTAGTTTTGTAATCAGTTTAAAACAAAGAAGCTCGATTTTTTAACATACATTAAGGTAAATTACAGATTTTAGAATTGATAAAATACTCGATTGTTTTTAAATTAGTCCCTGAAAATAATAACAAAATAAAATAAGTACCGGACACTGAGAGGTAGTGAGAGTGACCGCTAGCGTTTTTACCGTTCACGTGTACTCTCATATGTCTCCAACCCTGATGAAATGAACAGTGTTACACACAAGCGTACAGACAAACAAATGTACAAGCATATAAACAGTACGTAAGACTAACTCTATATGAGTATTCGTTCGGCTGATAATTTTATTGTTTGTTTGTTTGTACCTGTTTCTCATCGGGAGGCGGTTCCATTTCCCAGGTTGCAGTAGAACCAGGTTCTGAGAGAGCCGTGTCATCGGAATGTGATCTCAAGGTTACCCAAGCTTTACTGTCCTTCGACACCTGTTCAGAATGAACTCGATGATTCCACTTCATCCGTTAAAAATCTTATTTCGCCAAATTATTGTTCAAACTAAAATCACAAAAAAAAAAAAAAACAAAACTGCCACAATGATACACTAACTGTGCACGTGATACACTAACTGTGCACGTGATACACTAACTGTGCACGTGATACAATAACTGTGCACGTGATACACTAATTGTGCAAGTGATACACTAACTGTGCACGTGATACAATAACTGTGCACGTGATACACTAACTGTGCACGTGATACACTAACTGTGCACGTGATACACTAACTGTGCACGTGATACACTAACTGTGCACGTGATACACTAACTGTGCACGTGATACACTAACTGTGCACGTGATACACTAACTGTGCACGTGATACACTAACTGTGCACGTGATACACTAACTGTGCACGTGATACAATAACTGTGCACGTGATACACTAATTGTGCAAGTGATACACTAACTGTGCACGTGATACAATAACTGTGCACGTGATACACTAACTGTGCACGTGATACACTAACTGTGCACGTGATACAATAACTGTGCACGTGATACACTAACTGTGCACGTGATACACTAACTGTGCACGTGATACACTAACTGTGCACGTGATACACTAACTGTGCACGTGATACACTAACTGTGCACGTGATACACTAAATGTGCACGTGATACACTAACTGTGCACGTGATACAATAACTGTGCACGTGATACACTAACTGTGCACGTGATACACTAACTGTGCACGTGATACACTAACTGTGCACGTGATACACTAACTGTGCACGTGATACACTAACTGTGCACGTGATACACTAACTGTGCACGTGATACACTAACTGTGCACGTGATACACTAACTGTGCACGTGATACACTAACTGTGCACGTGATACAATAACTGTGCACGTGATACACTAACTGTGCACGTGACTGTGCCTACCTGGAAGAGCCAATTCCTGAGAGCTGACCTGCCGAAACCCCGGCTGTGTCTCAGTGTGTAGTGGGAGGGTATAACCCACATAGCCAGGTCCACACTGATCCAACCGTTCTTATCATCGCTAGTATGGACGTTCTTAGCAGCTCCCGTCCGGCTCAGCACATCATCTGAAAGGGAGAGGTATTAGTGGTATGTGGGGGATTAGTATGTGGTATGTGTGGTATGTGGTATGTGGTATGTCCTGCTCAGCACATCATCTGAGAGGGAGAGGTATTAGTGGTATGTGGGGAATTGGTATGTGGTATGTGTGGTATGTGGTATGTCCGGCTCAGCACATCATCTGAGAGGGAGAGGTATTAGTGGTATGTGGGGGATTAGTATGTGGTATGTGTGGTATGTGTGGTATGTGGTATGTCCTGCTCAGCACATCATCTGAGAGGGAGAGGTATTAGTGGTATGTGGGGGATTAGTATGTGGTATGTGTGGTATGTGGTATGTGGTATGTCCTGCTCAGCACATCATCTGAGAGGGAGAGGTATTAGTGGTATGTGGGGAATTGGTATGTGGTATGTGTGGTATGTGGTATGTCCGGCTCAGCACATCATCTGAGAGGGAGAGGTATTAGTGGTATGTGGGGGATTGGTATGTGGTATGTGTGGTATGTGGTATGTCCGGCTCAGCACATCATCTGGGAGAGAGAGGTATTAGTGGTATGTGGGGAATTGGTATTTGTATGTTTGAAAGATATTGGTAATATTGGGTACTCATTCATGCGAACAATTGAAATATTAGAAAACAAAAAACACAGAAAATCATTAACATGGCGTGATGGTTGCAAACGCCTAAAACTGGAAAAACATCATGCCGGGCCGTTCATTCTTGCAATCCAAAAACACTGACTTTATTAAATGCAGTATGGTCTATAATTTAGGTTCATATTATTGAAGATAAAACTCACCAAGAGATCCGTAAGGCAGGTTCCTGCCATCAGAAGAAGATAACACCACAGCCTTGATAGAGCTGGGGTTCTTCCACTCCTTAGAGCTCCTAAACAGGGTAATGTATGAGTTAAGGGACGACCACTGGGGATTGTCTTCCAGAAGCTTCCAAGCTGTGTACTATAATCATACATATTATCATACGATAAACACTATAAATCCAGTTATCATGTTAAGGTAACTTGTTAATATAAACATAACGAAAGTTCTCACGCACTTTCCGTTTGTTCCAATCCAGTATATAATTCCATTCTCGTCAAAGTCTGAAGTTTGTGTGAACTTGAGGGACCCGCCCTCTTTTACCTCCCTTATAAACTTGTAGGTCGACCTGTCGTAGTCAAACCACTGCTTCGCAACCTGAGCCAAATTATAATATTAGCGACAAGAGAAACACCATTGTCGGACGTGAGCAAAGTGAGGAGTCAAACTACATTAAACATGTTGCTGAATGATCTGATTTTTTAAATATTACGAACCGTTCAATTTCGATTAATCAAACTGAAACAGTCTTATCACTCACGTGAATTGTTGGATCTGTAAACCAAAATACTCACGTTTTTACGAAGGTACTCCTCGAGGGTTCCCACCGCCGTCATGGGCTCTATCTTGAGTGTTCTACCGCTGCGGTCCAACAGGGTGTGCTCACCAGCGTACCGCTCTAGTCTGAACCGCAACCTGCGGTTCAAGTGTGGGGTTACTATTTTGGAGGGTAGAAAATGGAGTCATTGAAACGTCTTCAAACCCCCTGGAAATTTCTTTGAAGGCACATTTTGTACCCTTTTTAAAATTTCTGCAAATTCCAAATTCATAGCCATAGAACAAAATATTGCAAAACCATGTTATTTTCCCTGTGATTCTCGTAACTTACCGTTTTGTAAGTATCTGCAAGCTATAGAGCGCTCCCGGACTCTCGTACAAGTACAACGGTAAGTTCTCAACCGACTCCATCACTGACACCAACTTCTTAACTAGATTAGTCGCAATCTCCCTGAAAATCACGTGATATCAACAATTAAAGTCACGTGATATTGACGGTACATGAAGACGTTTAGCAGAGGTGAAAAAGTCTGTCGCAGATCACAATCATAATCTAATCAGATAATTAAAAGAGTAATAACAAATTAGTTACTAATTTAAAGAGTAATAACTAATTAGTTACTAATTAGTAACTAATTAAACTAGTTACTAATTAGTGACTAATTAAAAGAGTAATAACTGATTAGTTACTCTTTAGTTACTAATTAAACTAGTTACTAATTAGTTACTAATTAACTAAATAACAACTCACTCCTGAGCGTGGGACCCGTTCAAGAAGCACTCTTTAAACACTTCTATCCGCTCCTGGCTCTTGTGTAGACTAGTGTTAATAGCATTCTGCTGTTTAACACTGCTGCAGGACGCTCCTGTCTTCATGTCCTGGACAATTAGTTATTCAAATTTAACGTAACCTAATATCTAGAAATATTCACGAATTTTACCACCAAAAACAAAAATTCAAACAAAGTTTAAAGGAAAAAAACTCTCAAAAACATTTCCCAATTACACAGAATAATAATTCGAATGAGTGCACTAACATTGTAACTAAGTGCACGTAGTAAACTAGGTACAAGTTCACACGAGTTAAGTTCGAAGGTAGATAAGGATGTGTCACTGTGGAGCAATACAGCTAAACTTCTGAAGGAAGAGGAAAGGAGAGGCTTCCATTCACTCTCCTGGGGGGTTAATCAGTTGATAACTAATGGGAGGAGTTGTTATAAATGTTGTGGAAATAATCAATGTACAGTAAAAACCCCATTTTACGTGGCTCGATTTACCACGATTTACCTTTCGTCTTCCCTTTCCCCTCAATTTAGTTTTAATATCTCGTGATGCTTTGAAATACAGCTTATAAATGGGCCTGACAAACGAGCTTGTCAGGCTCGTTAGTCGTTACTTCTTTAAACTATCCATTACTTAATATAATTTGGAACCAGTACTTTGCAGAAAGAAACCATTTGATCCGCTGGGGCTTCAAAACTCAAACCCCCGATTTACCGTACTATACTCCTTTCCCACAAATGTCCAGTTTTGTAAAATAACTAATGGGATGTTTTGGAGGTTAACATACCGATTTAGCGTCATTGTGAAGCGATACAGCAGAATCTATGTTGTTGAGGATCACTTTCAGTTTGGCTACAACAGGACGCATGTGATTCATCTTGTTCTCGAAATATGTCATGTAAATCTCCTCCGATAAAACATTGATCTGAAATAGAACGGAGTGATGATCGGTATACATTTGCATTGAACGTTGTTGGAAGAGTCATAACTGATTGATCAATTTGATAATAAAACTATCGTATGTCTGCTTATCAAATGAGAAACGCTGGCAGTTTATCATTAATTCGCTAAATAGAGAAACGCGCAATATAACGCGCAGCAAATTTAGCGCAATACCATCAATAAAATACTGGCCGCGCGTTACGAAAATTCCAATTTCTGAGGTCATTTCTTCAGTTACACTGTTTAAGTAAATTCATGCCACCCCTTTGAGGTCATCGGTGTTTTACATATAATTCCAAAATACAAATTCGTAGATAAATCTATAAATTCTATATTGAAGGTAGAGAGGTAAGTGCTGCACCTATGCTCCAAGTGCCGCCCCATGATTTACAGTTGTTTTCTAAATGTGTGCTTAAAAACGCTGCTAAAATCTCTAAAATAATCGAATAAGACGCGCATTTTTGCTAGTCGTACAGTTAATATTGCAAATTTGTCCCACATTATTTCATCGATATTTATCAAGAAAATGCACACAATCTTTGTCCAATTCAAGCAGAGAATAAAATGATGAAGATAAAAAGCATTTAAAAAGTGGAGATGCGGGGTCTCGAACCCCGGACCTTGTACATGCAAAGCACACGCTCTACCGCTGAGCTACATCCCCGTTACTCCTTTGTCATTTTACATCATTATATTAACTGACCTGCTGTTGCAGTTGCTTCGATTTTGATTTAACCTTGCACGTCTTTTTTCCCCATCCAGCAGCAAACTCCACTCCTAAAGTAAAGAATTGCTACTTTTCATCGTACAACCAATCTCAACCAGGACACATCATTACAAAGTTACTTTCAATCAACAAATATGTTTGAAGTGTGTAGTTGTAAATAAATGATATCTGACCTAAAGTAAGTTCGGCATTGAAGGAATGTGTGGCGCCCTTGTTGGACTCAAATATAAAACCGGGCAAATCCTCTCGGAGCACAGTGCTCTGTTGTCCTTCTACGTTATCTATCGCAAGTTCTCCTTCACGCCTAAAATAAGTTGTACCAATTAATATTAGCTAAATTGTTTAATAATCAGAAGGATATTGATTTACATCATTACAAAGTTACAAGAAATCATATAAATATAATTACAAGAATAGCATATAAATGTAATTTTTAAACGTATAATTCTAATCCAGCAGAGAAGAAAAAAAAACAAACAATGAGAGTTACTGATTAACTAATAACACTTAATGAACACAATACTACAATATAAACTAACCTGCACTTGAGTCGCCACTTGTCCAACTCAATGGTATTACCAGGAGTTGACAGTATGGGTTGGGATGGTTTATCAGATGCTACCTGACATTTGGCTCTCTGTAGCTTCTCCAGGAACTCACAGCGGGAATCTGTAGAGTTCGGGTAATTGAAGCTTTATTAATTAACTACTACTAACTAGTTTAATTGATTAAATAACAAGTTAATTATAGATGGTATAGTATGAAGTATCAGTATCATTACTATACCCCCCTTTATATCTAGTCTAGGGAGTTGGATCTATGCGATCTCCTCGGTCGACTCAGCCGAATCACGAATGATAGGAAACTTAATTGAGGGTTAAGTGAGGAGGGGTACCTGTTAAAAGTTCAAGAAACTTCCTAAGATACCCCTTTAGTGCATACTGTAAACATATTATTATTACTATTACTATATACCTGAAGTGTCAGTGCCGCTAGAGTCAAGACACCCTGCACTGTAAATGGTAGATAACTTGCCGTCCATTATAAAACTGAAACAACACAATTTTAAATAAATTACTTCATGTTATCATGTACTGCTAATGTATAACATATTATTATGTATTGCGTGGTATCACTACAATCTGTACTTGTTTAAACGTCATGTTTGTCCACCATGCCACCTTGATCAGCCTCACAGTGGGACACTATACAAACCAAACAAGACAATAACTTTATAAACCACACCATTAAAAAATAATCAATGAAACCACACATGAACCACACAATAATCATTCATAACCCCACAATCAAACCACCCATAAATATCCCCACAAATTAAACCCACCTAAACCAGCCGTTAGAGCCGGAACTGAGAGCAATAGCAGTGTAATCACACCAGATATAGATACATTCCTTAGCGTGCAGTATACTCCACTGGCACCAGTGGTAGGGTCTGTAGGGCAGTACTTCCGCTGCGTCCTCCATGTACTGATCCTCCTGTTCAAATAGTTGTAAAATAGTTGTTATACTTGGAATGTGTATGTAAAATCCGGATTGGAATATTATTTATGAGTCACATAGTTAAAATGTTTTCTTGGGTAAATTTGTATTGATCCCAAGGAAAATGCTCCTGATATGAGCCTTCTACTTGTCGCATCAAACGGGATCAAAAGAAATTTACCCAGGAAAACACTTGGAATTTCTTATAACAGTTTAAACTATTATAGTGAGTCAGAACAATAAGGATGAAAAGAACGTGATTTTGGGGCTACAAATTATATGAGGGTTAATAGGAAGCTGGTAATGAATGATAACAGGAAACTGATCACCAACTGATATTAGTAAAGATTAGTAGTAGTATTAGTAAAGATTAGTAGTACCTTATCTGACTTGAGCTTCTCATCTGAGTATATCTTAGCTCGTTTACTGATGTGGTTTATGACTCCCAGTCTACAGAAGTGGTCCATGAAGTGGTCTGCTCCCTTCTCGCACAGATCCCGTACCATGGAGAGTGCTGGTACTTTGTTATCGTCTCCCTCCTCCTAGTGTAGGGGTGTGTTACACTTAATGTTACACTTACTGTTACACTCACTCTAACACTCACTGTTACACTCACTGTTACACTCACTGTTACACTCGCTGTTACACTCACTGTTACACTTACTGTTACACTCACTGTTACACTCACTGTTACACTCACTCTTACACTCACTCTTACACTCACTGATATATTGTTATAACTCTGGTAATACCGCCGGGCATTATTTCTTTTATCCGTGTTTAAAGTTTTTAAATGTATAGTAAACGTAATATGGTTAACTTGTAGTTGAAGTACATTGTTAGTAGTATCATAGTGGTCTAGTGTACAGCGTATAGTAACAATTAGTGGTGTATGCTTTACAGCTACACTTTGCAATGAACATGACATCACACTGTCATACCTTTCTCTACATGTGTTATATTTAAAGTATCTTATGTAAAAGCTTGCTATTATGTTTTAACTTATGTATAAAGTTATAATGTAATTACTTTTATTTTATTAATTTACAAGTTATTAAGTTATCTAGATACAGCGTCAAGATACACAGGTAGTCTTTGTCAGCTGTAATAATACACTAAGCAGTTACCACGTAGTAATATCCAGTAAAAACAGGAAGAATAACGTCTCTATCAAACTATTTCTATCAAACTATTTCTAACAACATCCTGCTGGCAATCCTCCAAATATTCCAAATATTCCAAATATTCCAAATATTCCAACAACTCACGGAACCTACCTCCAGCACGTAAGCAATGGTCTCCACAATCTGGGCGCTGTAGGGAGCCCCTTCTTCACAGAGTGTCTGAACAATGTTGAGTGTAGTGTACCGGACTATTTTCCGTAGTAGGGTCAGCGCACTCTTCTTTACACTGAGACGTTGTGTTATTTAACATTAATAAGATAGGAATAGTACACATATATGTATACATTATGTAGAGAATTTGTTGACAATTTTAAACCCCCTTCCTTCACAAACAGCTATTGTGTAAAAATTAAACTTGTTTTTTCAAACTCACTCCCCAACTCCCCAAGGCGTAATATATGTCAACGATCCCTCACAATATTCACCTTTATTAGTAATCAACTTTTAAAACCTATGGTAGTATGTACATGGTACAGTAGCTTAGATACTACTATGATGATCTTTACAAACACTGGATATATTTAAATCTCATCAGCTGATATTATCATGTCTACAAGTACAGTAGATAAGAACAATCATTATCCATGCACAATGTAACAAAGATACAGGACACCTAGATACAACTTGATAATGTAGATAACTAGATAATATTACCATAAATAATAATGTAGATTACACTGAGTAGATGAGTAGATCTACTCGTTATCAAATTATAATGTATCTTGTTGTCTAGTACAGTTTAATGTAGATAACACTCTTACATGATTTCTTACACTTTTACTCAGGAGAATAAAAACGATCTGAAATGTGAACCTGGTGTAAAGGGTGTTCTGGAAGATATCAGTGAACTGAGGAATCCAGTATTTCAGGTATTTTACAATCAGTTCGTCGTCTCGTACCCAGGGTGCTTGAGTCTCCTCCGCATCTTCCTCGGGGACCTCCTCCTCCTCCGCCGGGATGGGTTCTTGTTTTGGAGGTAATGTGGCAGTGGCACTGCCACTTCCTTCCCCGCTCGCTTCATTCATCATCCACTCACCTGCAATGTAGGATAACAAACTCTCCAATTTTGGATCACCTGCACTGATTTTTTCAACTTTCCACAGAAATAAAAAACACAAACTTAAAGGATATAATATAATATTATGTGCAATTTACCGGGGTTCTGTAGGATGTGTACCACCTCGCGATGACCCTCGTCGTTCTTCTCACGCGCCCGGTCCAACGGCGTCTTTCCATCCTCATCTCTTAGGTCAGGATTAGCTCCACTTCTTAGCAAGGCTTTAGCAATTGCTGGCCTCCCTACAGAGACAATGTTTTAAAAAGTCCAGTAGAAATTGTAAGAATTGAATATAAGGCAGTCACATGTTTTTAAGACACTCTTAGGGAGGTCAAATGCCGGTCCTCTTTAACGGTATCTTCTACAATATAATAATCGCTTTTATGAATGGATATATGATTGAAAAAAAGTCTAGGGGGCCGGCCGGGCGGGGGGGGGGGGGATCACAAACAACCTACCAAAACAGGCGGTGTAGTGGAGACTGGAGGACCTCTGTCCTCTGTTAACATCAGCCCCTCTTTTCACCAAATACTCCACCATAGTCAGAGTCCCAAACGCACTTGCCCAGTTCAACAGAGTTTGTCCCACGTCGTCCATAAAGTTTACGTCGTAGCTCCCTGGTATAATTTAAGAGTTTTTTAAGTTTATACATCCAGACAATATTGAGCACCAGGTTCGGTTTATCACGAATATATTGTGAAAATAGTAAATTTATACTAAATTATATTATTGTATGGCGCCGTAAGCTTACTTTTCTATAGTTAATCACCTTTTATGTGTGAGGACAAAATATATGGTTCCTACCACAATCCAGATTTGTAAGCCAGAGTTAAAAACGAAATATATATATACACATATACATATATATAATGCTTTTGGAAACGAAGAGAAACACACAACGTAAGGCTTGAAATCTTCGTAAAACTACATCATTAGAGCCTGTAAAAAACATTAAACTTTAAGTTATAATTATAAATAATATTATAAATAATAATTATAACCTACCACTCTCCATGAGCTCAATGAGGCCGTTAGAGTCCTTGCTCCTGATCCTGTCTATAAGTTGCTTGTGATTAGCTGAGTCGTTACCGTGGTTAGAGGAGGAAACAGTAGGTTGATTAGTACGTGGCAGTGCACTGCGCCCCTCAAACATCAGCAGTAGTAAGAGGTCTATAAACCTCATGGTGTCCAAAACACATCTGTAGATCATACAGCATTACAGCATGTACATTAATTAGTTGTTAATTTTAGTTTAATAAAGTGTTGTCAATTAGAATTATTGAGATTGGACAATAATTGTAAAGATAATATATATCTAGAGGCATCCTCTTTCTATCAAGATAATAATTGTTAATTCTTAACAAGATAATATAATATCTAGAGGCATCCTCTTTCTATCAAGATAATAATTGTTAATTCTTAACAAGATAATATAATATCTAGAGGCATCCTCTCTCTAATCTTAGATCAAGAACAAATGTAAATAACTACCTCTCGTTAGCCATGAGAGCAGAGGTAAGAGCCTCAGCTAGATTACTGTGAAGTAGTTTGTTAGTGATACTGTCACTCCCTCGACACAGAGCTGTTAGCAGTGATATCACCATGCTTACTGTACCTGGGAAAGTAGTTTGTTAGTGATACTGTCACTCCCTCTACACAGAGCTGTTAGCAGTGATATCACCATGCTTACTGTACCTGGGAAAGTAGTTTGTTAGTGATACTGTCACTCCCTCGACACAGAGCTGTTAGCAGTGATATCACCATGCTTACTGTACCTGGGAAAGTAGTTTGTTAGTGATACTGTCACTCCCTCTACACAGAGCTGTTAGCAGTGATATCACCATGCTTACTGTACCTGGGAAAGTAGTTTGTTAGTGATACTGTCACTCCCTCTACACAGAGCTGTTAGCAGTGATATCACCATGCTTACTGTACCTGGGAGCGTGTGATATTGTCAGTTTAAGAAGTCTTAACTTAAGTGGTAACACTTTATGGTATGCTGAGCAGTCAAATGTTATGTCACTATTAGTTACATTATTGAGCTAATATCGACATCGTCAATGTTTCATAATTTATAGAAACTAGAATAATCAGTACACAAAACATGCACAGCATTATCTTAATAGGGCTGTTAAAATAGGGCTGTTAAAATAGGGCTGTTAAAATAGGGCTGTTACCCTCGCTAGGAGTCTGACTATTAGTAGTTTGAGGTCTGTTTCCCGCAGCGTTGTTCCTAGTAGGAGTGAAGGTACTGGGTAACGCTATCGTCAACCTGCTCAACAGGTTCTCTACCAGTCCGTGATGTCCAATAGGTGCGGGGTCTATGTTCTTTCTAGTGAAGCGGTCAGAGAGAGACGCAAAACATCTTAGTGACCCGTCTGATACCTGGGGGTAAGATACTCCTGTTATAGTCCTTACATTTGTCTTAAAATATGTATTAAGGTAAAGCATGAAAAAAATCAATATCAGTATTAAGGACAAACCTGGTTATCACTGTGATCAAGGAGTGTAGAGAGTGTAACTACACACTCGGGCAGTGTCTCATCTGTTGGCTCACATTTAGTACAAAGTTTGCTGACCACCTGGTGGGAAATACGATAAATGTTGTTATTTTTTATATTATAGTAACAGAGTTCAATATTTTATGTTACAGCCAAAATGTAAGATATTGATTTTGATCATAACTTAATTATGTACTTTCGTATTCCCCCCCCAATGGATCACCACATAATATAAGTGGCCTGTGATATCTAACCAACACGCAACACTGTATTTTACACATATTTTACACATATTTTACACATATTTTACACATATTTTACACATATTTTACACATATTTTACACATATTTTACACATATTTTACACATACCGCCATGGCAGAGTGAAGTATGTCCTTGTGAGTAGTTGACTGGTTATCTGATATGAAACTCAGGATAGCCGGTAGTCCTCCAGCTTGGAATATCAGACCCGCCTCTCTTGTCACCATGAATTCTAGCACCTGGGAGGCAATGTTGATTATAAGATGGAATATCAGACCCGCCTCTCTTGTCACCATGAATTCTAGCACCTGGGAGGCAATGTTGATTATAAGATGGAATATCAGACCCGCCTCTCTTGTCACCATGAATTCTAGCACCTGGGAGGCAATGTTGATTATAAGATGGAATATCAGACCCGCCTCTCTTGTCACCATGAATTCTAGCACCTGGGAGGCAATGTTGATTATAAGATGGAATATCAGACCCGCCTCTCTTGTCACCATGAATTCTAGCACCTGGGAGGCAATGTTGATTATAAGATGGAATATCAGACCCGCCTCTCTTGTCACCATGAATTCTAGCACCTGGGAGGCAATGTTGATTATAAGATGGAATATCAGACCCGCCTCTCTTGTCACCATGAATTCTAGCACCTGGGAGGCAATGTTGATTATAAGATGGAATATCAGACCCGCCTCTCTTGTCACCATGAATTCTAGCACCTGGGAGGCAATGTTGATTATAAGATGGAATATCAGACCCGCCTCTCTTGTCACCATGAATTCTAGCACCTGGGAGGCAATGTTGATTATAAGATGGAATATCAGACCCGCCTCTCTTGTCACCATGAATTCTAGCACCTGGGAGGCAATGTTGATTATAAGATGGAATATCAGACCCGCCTCTCTTGTCACCATGAATTCTAGCACCTGGGAGGCAATGTTGATTATAAGATGGAATATCAGACCCGCCTCTCTTGTCACCATGAATTCTAGCACCTGGGAGGCAATGTTGATTATAAGATGGAATATCAGACCCGCCTCTCTTGTCACCATGAATTCTAGCACCTGGGAGGCAATGTTGATTATAAGATGGAATATCAGACCCGCCTCTCTTGTCACCATGAATTCTAGCACCTGGGAGGCAATGTTGATTATAAGATGGAATATCAGACCCGCCTCTCTTGTCACCATGAATTCTAGCACCTGGGAGGCAATGTTGATTATAAGATGGAATATCAGACCCGCCTCTCTTGTCACCATGAATTCTAGCACCTGGGAGGCAATGTTGATTATAAGATGGAATATCAGACCCGCCTCTTTTGTCACCATGAATTCTAGCACCTGGGAGGCAATGTTGATTATAAGATGGAATATCAGACCCGCCTCTCTTGTCACCATGAATTCTAGCACCTGGGAGGCAATGTTGATTATAAGATGGAATATCAGACCCGCCTCTCTTGTCACCATGAATTCTAGCACCTGGGAGGCAATGTTGATTATAAGATGGAATATCAGACCCGCCTCTCTTGTCACCATGAATTCTAGCACCTGGTTTTGAAACCCCACGGTGGAGGTTGGCGTGTGCCGCAATTTATTGATCAATGGTTATTACATAAATAAAATTATAGAAGTCACACTAAAATATAATAATGTAAAATAAATATATTAAAATAAATGCCCTACTAAAAGTACTATATAACTAACGGTCTGCAAAACTGGTTGAAGTCGCAATTTGTAAACATGCTAATTACTATTTAATAGTAATAGATAAAAAGTTTTGCGCGGCAGATGTAAATTCGGCATTGCATAATGGCAGTGAAATTAAAATGATATGTTGTTGATAACAGATCATAGTCATTTGACGCGAGTGATCTTTCTTTACGCGTTGTCGCTTACTAACTCGGTGCTGTAGTCTATTTGCGAGCGACCTTCTCTTTGAGACTTTCTTAGCCCAGGTATACTATAAAGTAAGAAATTTGGCCAATTTTCATCGTCTCCTGAGCTTTGCAGCTTGAGGAGTTCGCCCTTAGCTGAATTTTTAAAGATTTCAATTGAAAAGGTAGAACTTGGAATAGTTATATCTTTACTTTGTTTTGTAATAGAGAGCATGGGTCCTTTGAAGAAAAGAGTATTTCTAAATGTTGGGCCGTTGTAAGTTGTGAACCAAGAAAGGTTATGTTCGAATGTGGAATTATAGGTGGGAATATCGTGAGGGAAAAGTTCTTTGATGGATTTAGGGAGAAGGCTTGGCATGTTCCTTACTTTGTGTAGTAGAATAAGAGCGTTTTTTACAATGACGCTATGGACTGTTAGGATATTATGCAATCTAAACGCACTTTTTGTGTGCTCCGGGGGATTGCCGTCTTTATATCTATAATTTACATATCCTGACATAACAGCTCTAATTCCCTGCTTTTGCTTGGTGAACAGAGATTCAATGTGACATTTTGAGGCAAATCCCCACACTAAAGAACAGAAATTTAGATGGGATTGTATAAGGCTTTGGAAAATGTTTAGGCGGGCTTTGATAGGTAGAAGGTGCTTTAGCTTATACATAACTCCGAGGTAGCGACCCATCTTTATTCTAACGGCCGTAATGTGTTTTTGCCAAGTGAGCTTTTCGTCTAGGATCACTCCTAAAAATCTTGCTTCAGTCTTACGTTCGATTACAGTGTTGTCAATGGACAAATTAAAGCCGCTGAAGTCGATTCTTTTTCTAGTGAAAATCATGTAACACGTCTTTTTTACATTTAAAGATAGCCCATTAACACCTACCCAATCTACAAGACGTGAAATTAGCTGATTAGCTTTTAATTGTATTTCTTCTAGGGTGGTTCCACTAATTAATATGTTTGCGTCGTCGGCATAAAGGATGAACTTTGCAAAATCACTAATTCCAGGTAGGTCGTTTATATAAATTACAAATAAGAGAGGTCCTAAAATGCTACCCTGAGGTACGCCGTAAACTATGGGCATGCTAGAAGAGCAAGTTCCGTTTAAAGTTACGTATTGAGATCGATTACAAAGGTAAGATCTAAACCATTCGTGCGCGACTCCCCTGATCCCATAATGGTCAAGCTTCTTAAGCAAGGTCTCATGATCAAGCACGTCAAAGGCTTTACTGTAATCGAGCAGGAGCAGTAGGGAAATTTGTTTCTTATTCAGAGAGTGTAGTATGGAATTTTGGGCATTGAGCAGTGCATGTTCGCACGATCTTCCTGGCCGAAATCCGTATTGATTTTCGAAAAGAGAATCGTTCTTATCTAAAAATTCTAAAACACGAGCATGCATAAGTTTCTCATAAATTTTCGAGAATGATCCCAAAAGAGAGATCGGCCTATAATTAGCTACTTCCAATTTTGAACCACCTTTATGGATAGGAACGACTTTCGCAGTTTAGATTATAAGATGGAATATCAGACCCGCCTCTCTTGTCACCATGAATTCTAGCACCTGGGAGGCAATGTTGATTATAAGATGGAATATCAGACCCGCCTCTCTTGTCACCATGAATTCTAGCACCTGGGAGGCAATGTTGATTATAAGATGGAATATCAGACCCGCCTCTCTTGTCACCATGAATTCTAGCACCTGGGAGGCAATGTTCATTATAAGATGGAATATCAGACCCGCCTCTTTTGTCACCATGAATTCTAGCACCTGGGAGGCAATGTTGATTATAAGATGGAATATCAGACCCGCCTCTCTTGTCACCATGAATTCTAGCACCTGGGAGGCAATGTTCATTATAAGATGGAATATCAGACCCGCCTCTCTTGTCACCATGAATTCTAGCACCTGGGAGGCAATGTTCATTATAAGATGGAATATCAGACCCGCCTCTCTTGTCACCATGAATTCTAGCACCTGGGAGGCAATGTTGATTATAAGATGGATTATTAGGCGGAATGGAGAGAACTGTGTGATTCTTAATTTTGCAGTAAAACATTTGGGCTTGAAATAATGCACATGATAAGACATTTTGTAAAGAAGTAAAATAATTCCATTCTCTTGTTATTATATAAACACCTAAGTAAAATAATTGTTATTATATAACTTGCGTGCTTCCACAAGATATGGTAATTTACAAAGTATTTACCTTGATACATTGCTCAGAGAGGTCTTTACCGGTTCTAGTATCGCTCCTCTTACTGAGTCTGTCACACAGAGCCTTTACAGCTCCGTCAACTGACACTATCCTTCTTGTGCACTGGTAAATAGTTAGCTGGTAGTTAGGACATCACAGATAAGATGGGTGAAGGAGTTACATGAGGTTTTAAGTAAATAAGTGAGACACTTTCAAGATATATGATGTTGAAACACTGAAGTTCAACATCATTAATGGACAATTTTCTATTTTTCCTGCATTACTGAACTACTGACTGCTGAAACTAAGGCCTAAGCTACATCTGTTTTTGCCTACACTAACCTCAGCGCTGACATCTAGATAAAATCTCATTGCTCTTGCAGTGGCTTCTAGAATGTTTTCTGGAGCAGATTCATCCATGAAGATGGTGCATAGAGCTGGGAGGAAGGTTCTTGGGGGACAGCTGTAAATAAAAACTGTGAGTAAATGATAATCCAAGTTGAGATAGAGTTTTATGATTAAAAATCATTGGAATCATCATAAAAAAGCATGTACATTAAGTGTACATGGCATTAAGTACATGTACAGTAGGTACATTAAGTACATTAAGTACATTAAGTACATTAAGTACATTAAGTACATGGCTAAAAATCTAAGTTACAATCACATACCTCTCAAAGCATTGATCTATGTTGTCGCTCATAAGCAGGAGCATGCAGAGCTGTTCCAGAGCAATGAGCTGCATGTCCCTGACGTCACCCTGGCCCATTTCCAGCCATTCAAGGAGCATGTCAGGGTCAACATCACCCATCTGATTAGGAAATCAACACTTTCTATTTAAACAATTTAATTGAGATTTTGAGAAAAACATTAGGACAACAATATATGATACTGTATTTAAAAACTGCAGATGATATCCATTTCAATACATTTTTGTCAATCTTTCCTAATACTTCGTCCGAAACATACCAAAAATGACTATCATTTACAGATCCGTTTAAAATAGTCTTTTTTTTAAAAGCCTCTAATCTTATTTTAAAACTTGATACTGTCCCACAATTCTTGACATCCGAGGGGAGTTTGTTCCAATATGGTCTCACCCTCTCCGGAAGAAAAGAACTGTGGACTTTCTTCATTTTACTGCTACTTTTACTGCATCTACTGTTTGATACCACATTAAGACCAGATCTGCTCATACTGAACAAACCAGCTCCGTAATTGGCCAAACCACTTATCATTTTAAAATATTCAATGAGGTCCCCACGTATTCGCCGCTCTGCCAGCGTTGTTAAATTGAGGATTTCCGGTCGACGACTGTATGTATACATACATGTATGTATACATACATGTATGTATACATACATCAATGTATACATACATCAATGTATACATACATCAATGTATACATACATCAATGTATACATACATCAATGTATACATACATCAATGTATACATACATCAATCGACTTTTATGGAGTATTAATTTCCACATTCATCAAGGACAACAACAATAACAATCCCTGACTACTTATGACATCATGGTAAACAGATCATATAAATGGTAAACAGAAAATCATATAGATAGAATCTTGTCTATCTATCTTGAATACAATTAGTGACGACTAGCATTAATTGCAAATTGCTGAATGAATTCAAAGATTGCAATTAATTAATTGTGGTAAATTATATGTACGTCATTCCATTTCTATGAAGTATTATCAATTGCCACTTTCATCAACGACTACAACTATTTCAATCCCTGGCAAAGTACTTTACGATCGACTAAAAAAAGGAAGCAACTCACGGTATCACTCTCAGAAGAGACATGTTTCATCATTTACCGGAATTGCAACCAAATATACACAATAAGGTTTGGTACTTTATCCGTACATCCCCTTTAATAGCTACAATAAATTGTCTATAAAATTTACATAAACAAACTTAAGAGACCTCAAAGCTCGTCTTCTGAGGAATGAGATTGAAGGATACGTCAACCAGTCCAAGGTGCTGGGCTTTTTGTCTTCCTCTGATTCCCCTGAGTGCTATGAGTGTGCTTCGTAGCAGATCAAACCTGAATCGTGTTCTGATGTGATTTTTGACCTGACTCTTAGCTTCTTTATTGTGGTCAGCTATCCTTTCAGAAATACGATCTACAAACACAGTGCAGAGTGGGCCCATACCTCCGGATGTTGTAAAAACTAGTGGGACAAAGGACCCTTTCTCTGACTGAAGTACTCTCTCCTCATATAGATCTTTCTTCTCTTTCTCATGCGCACTGTAGATTTTATCTAGTGGCTTAAATGTATTGGAGTCGCAATTAGGATGAGTGACCCTGATGTCAAAGAATGTTCTTTCGAATGGTGCATACAGTCCAACAGCTGCTACGTCCAGACGGGCTTCATCCTGGGTGTTGGTCTTCCTGGAGAATGAAGTTGGTTGGACAGGTAGGAGTGCAGGTTCTATCCTTACATCCTTACACTTTGCTTCTTGAAGGAAGAAAGCTGCAGTGTCTCTAATGGCATTGTGGCGCATGCAAACGTATCCACCTAATTTACAATCAAGGGAGTGGTAGACACTGTTTGCATGTCCGCAAGCACATTTAGAGGGCACTCCTTGGATCTTCCATCCATAGCGTAGGCGTATGCTGTCTTGGAACTCTTGCTTGTTTAGAACATAGTTGAGGTCCTTTAGAGGTAATGCTGAAAGCCATGTTGATGCTCCCTTCTCTCTTGCTTGGTTTAAGTGGTTCTTAAGAAGATGATCTGACCCATTATAAAGCATCTTGAACCTTTGTGATAGAAACTCATCTTTCTGTTTTCTCAGTTCTTCTTTCTTTTCTTTCATCTTGCCCATATCCAGCTTGGTGATATCCTGGTCTTGTTGGTTGATTAAACTCACAAGATCTTTAGTGAGTGCCACTGAGAATGCATATTCACGAGATGCTATCCTGAATCGACTAGCTTACTAGCGCAAAATCAATGAACCCACGCCCTCCATATTTAAAAGGCCACACTCATTTCAGCCTGCACTATCATTCCGCTATATTTTCATTCATAATATTTAAGAACACTCCAAACATTAAATAACAGCTAGCCATATCAGAGAATGCCCATGACTTCAAGCAAAAATCTTCAAGAACAACTCCAAGTCCTGTCATTTAACATTTTCCTGGCTACAGAAGCAGTCACAGGGTCAGTTTTAAAACAGCTGCAATTTTATATTCCGTTTGTTGATTGTCCTTAATTCACGTAATTTAATTAAAAATTAGCGGTCGAGGACAAAAAATTACACATCAAATAGTTATTATATTTGCAATTATCATTTAATCAATTTTGACTTAATAAACGTTAATGTATAAATTATACTTATTTTAGGTGTGAAGCGCGCGGCGGCCGAGGACCGAAAATTTGTTGCGAAAAATGGAATGCAGCGTGTATCAATACTATAATAATACAAATTTAGCAGAATGGCAGGCTGAGCGCGGCCGCGCGCGGCTCAGTATTCGCGTCGAACTCTTTTACTGGCAGGGCGGCATTTAAAGTTTAGTTTGTCATTTCATTACATGTCGGGTGCGATTAAATTTTGACTGTTTTGTGTTTTTTACGTTGTAAATAGCTTCCGCGCGCAAGTGCCCAGCTGTATCCGCGTGGCTTTCAATACTAAGTGAATTTTGAAATGACAATTACTGTAATCATGGGGGTCATGACAACGTATTACATTATACAAGTTCTGTGTACACGCTTAAACGTTTTGTTTTATGAGAAATATCTAGCAGGTTATAATAAGGGTAACCCACCGCGAGCTGATTACTCAGGACGCGCAAACACGTCAAGATAAAAACGTTTCGCGCCCTACAAAGTTCGGTAGACCTTGATTTGCAACTAAACGCTTGTAGTTTGCATTGCGCGCGCAGCTTTTGCACAGTTTAGTTCAACATCAACCATGCATATAACTATTGTTAATATTTATACTGCATTAAATTTCTAATTTTTGACATTTGATGGGAATTTTGATGTGCAATTGCTGTTTTTTATATGAATTAGTATGACTATGCCGTTATATAATTGATAATGCAAAATATAAGTAATACGATTACTTGTATTTAAAACACATTGTAAAATGTACATCACTTTTTTTCCCGTGTTGAAGTTGATTCATTTGGTCGCTTTTATTTTTATTTTAATATATAACAACCTTTTCCATTGTAAATTACTAATTGAAAAAACTGTTTATATATAAATTATTCATTATAACTTTGTATTTTTATCGCGCGCGTCTTTATATGTTGTAAGTTCTAGTTATTGATAATTTTTATTAAAAATCACAATGTTGCGGCAGAAATAATGATATCACAAGTAAACTTCAAATATACATTGCGATCACAAAGTTTTAATTCACCAAGTTATTAGGCCAAAATCATAATATATAAATGATAAAGTAAATTTATAGTTTCATTACACTTATTAAAATTTAAAAGCACGTATCGTGCAAAATAAATGACAAATATTAGTGCCACGTACCTATTTAAGTATGAAGAAACATAAATTTTGAAATTAAGAATCTGGAATCTCATATTTTCGATATTTAGATTTGTAATTACATTCGCCAAATAATTGTGTAAATAAACACGACAAAAGTTCAAAAATGCGCGGCTCAAAACACTAAATGCTGTACATTTTTAATATTTGAATATCTCCGCAAGCGTTACGTTTCTATGGGTAATTGTAGGAACTCTAAATCTATGTTGCTTGTAGAGTTCCGTTTGTGGTTGGAATCGGATCGGTTTGTTTGTTCACAACGATTTCGCAACGGAATATGGTAGTATTAGCTAAGACCCTTACGATCATATTGTTGCCAACTTTGTCGCGCTGCCACTCCCTATTTTGCTTCACCCCTGGGATCATTCTACTGTACCATATTATTGGAATGCTGTGGAGGAAGACTTGAACTCGAAGTGTGTGGGGTGTAGGCCCGCCCTGCGTTCCCCAGGGATGCCCGATAGATAAAGATTTCTCACATTGTTCATTCGTGAACTGCAATCAAAAGGTACGTGTGCTCTTTTTGTACAACTTTTATACTCGCATGCCATGAATATTTGTGCATAAAAAATTGTTAGAAATTCGAATTTAATCTATCTTACTTTTTACTTTCGTAATCTGTTAATTTAATCTAACCGTCCTCACTTTCAGATTACTATAATCTTGTCTAAATAATAACGTTTCTCGGGTCAACTTTACGCTAGATAACTGCATTCTTTGCCAAGAGGTGGCAACCAAACAAAAAGTAAGTTAAGATTCCTGTACATATCCCGCTTCGCTTTTCAAAGATTTTGTATGCGAATAACTGCTTGAATTGCAGGAATTCTAATCAACTACATTCGCTATGTAACCGTCCAGTGTTAACATCGCAGTGTTAACATCGTACTGCATGGTCTAATTTATGTCCTCTTACTATTATGAGTTAATTGTGTTTGTTTCTAGGTTACCCTAGTGTTGAAATTATCGACAAGCTTCTTAAGAATGTCCATGATCGAGCATCTTGGGAAGACCAAAAGGTACTAGAGACATGCCAAATTCTCTGACAAATCTGACAAAACTGCCATTGACCTGCTATCCGGTTGGTATTATCGCCTCTGTTCCCTAAGTAAACGGTGCAAACGGCGATACCAATAATCGATTGAGTCAGGTACGGTCTATGCTTTTGGTATAAAGTTTATGTAACGTATTTATTAAGCCACCATCTTTTGTCTGGATTCTGATTACCAATTAAGGCATTTAAAAATATACTGACTGAATTTTACAGCTGCATGGTACCTTTTGTTCTTTATATTTAATT